CAATTATAATAAAGATGCCCACCAGATCCGAAGCTAATTCCAGAAGAACGAAGACAAGCGAAACTATTAGAAAAAAAAGAAAGACAATAGTAACGTAATCTACTAACAAAAAAAAACTAAAAACAAAAAAAACAATAAGTATAACAATGTTTCTTATACCCCGAAGTCAATTCAAAAAATGAGCAAAGAGGGAAGGAAACGCTAGGAAAAAGAAATAGCGATGACACCTGTAACGATATACTACAAAAAGCTAAATAAAAAAAAATTAGATCAGATCAGTATTTAAATGATAACGATAATAAAAATTAAAAAAAATATTTCTATTCAAAGATTAGTTTACTAATTCTAACAAAATATAGAAGCAAAATGCATTTTATAATAAATACAATTTGAATTATTTTAAAGTTTACAAATAACGTGTCTATTATTCAAATATATTTGAATATAGTCAAATATAAACAATAATTTCGCAATATTTCGAAATTATTTTGGTTAAAATTTTTTGAAATATTTTTTGAAATATTTCGAAAATTGCATTTTTCGAAATATTTTGTATTGCAAAATCTTTCACAATATTTCGCACCTATAAATTTGCTAATGATGTAGAGATTTTTTAAAGAAATGTAGTGTTTGTACAAGAAAAACCTTTTTCTTACTAAGTAAATCATCTTTGGGATTCTAACAAAAGTTGTAGAGCTCATCAATACGCATCTAATGGTAGTAAGAACATTAAAATTGGCTTGGTGGTTCTTGAGAAATCTTTAAAAAACATTTTGATTTTTTTAAAGAAGATTTTATATAGTCGCCAAAAAGTTTTTAAAGATTTCTCAAGAACCACCAAGCCAATTTTAATGTTCTTACTATCATTAGATGCGTCTTAATAAGCTCTACAACTTTTGTTAGAAGTCCAAAGATGATTTACTTAGTAAGAAAAAAAGTTTTCCTTGTGCGAACGCCACATTTCTGTTTTAAAAGATTTATATATAGAACTATGTTGCATTACACTAAAATAATTAATCAGTTCACTGGAGAATCATCAATTAAACTTTCTTGGATTTTTGCTTGGACTTTTTTGGACTTTTTTTTGAACTTCTCTTGGACTTTTGCTTGAGCTTTTGTTTGGGCTTTCATTTGGAATCTTTTTTTTCGATTTTTGTTTCTTTTTGTTTTTTTTTTTTTTGCCTCTTTCGCTTCATTCTTTTTTTTTTGCTATTTCTTTCATTTTTATTTTTAGCTTTTTATTATTATTATTATTATTATTATCCTTTCTTTTTTTTTTTTTTTTTGGTTGTTTTTTTTCTTGAACTAACATTCTTTTTTTTCTTTCTAGTTGTAATTTTAGTATTACCAGAATTGTAGTTCTTTGAACTGTCATTACTGGAGCCATCGTTGTTGTTTTTGGAGTCTTCATTATCTTTTGTTGCTAGATCTTTTTGGGTAAATAATTTAATTATTGTTTATTATTGTCTTTTTGCCAACTTTTTCTAACACTTATGGAACTTTTACCTAAAATTTTAAACTTTCGCTTGATTTGGATTTTTATTTGAACTTTTGTTTGAATTTTCTTTGGACTTTTGCTGAGATTTTTACTTGGATTTTCTTGGACTGTTGATTGGACTATTACTTGGACTTTCATTTGGATTTCTTAGATTTTTGCTTAGACTTTTTTAGATTTTTTTGAACTCTTTTAGATTTTTGTTTGAAATTTCTTGAACTTTTGCTTGGACTTTTTCTTGGACTTTTGCTTGGACTTTTTTGCTTGGACTTTTATTTGAACTTTCACTTGAACTTTTATTGGCTTAGTGGTTTGTATCAGAATTATTTTATTATTTATATAAATAAAGCGAGTAGGCAGTTTGGCAAATTTTAGTCTATTCTAAGTGGGTGGCTGGGTGGTTTTTTTTTGTATATTGCCAATGATGTTTATAATATATTCATTGTATAATAATGTTTTTTTTAAATAAAATATTTAAAATTTAATTATTATATAATAAAATAATACCCATAGTATAAGAATTATGTATAATTGTCATTATCAAAACCCGTGCTATTTGGACTAGTAAAATATTACAAATCTGTTCCAATTGGCAGTGCCAATTCAAACCTATATGTACAAATCAGAGCCATCAGAACCCGTGCTATACATTTCCAACCCGAACCAAAAACCTGTACCAATTGGACTAGTAAAATGTTATAAAACCCAAGTCATTAATGGTCTAATTAGTACTAGTGTATATTCTAACACGAATCAACAAATCTGTACCAACTAAACTTTCTACATACAAAACCCATTTCTTATCTGTGTCACCAAAACTCATGCTATTCTGATCCAATTTTCTTATAGAGCAATGATTAGGATCTTAATTGATTAAGTAAATTTTTTTCTTCGATTTTTCAAAATGAAAAGTGATTGTTGCAATCTCGACAAACCAAATGATTTTTTTAAAAGCATAAAATTTAATAAACTAAAAATATACATTGATTGCTGTAACCAAATTTCTACTAATAATAAACGAAAAAATGAATAAAAATCGAAATAAATTTATATAAAAACTATTCAAGAAAATACAATTGCAGAAAACTTTGTAGATTTTATTTTTAATAATTTTCTGGAAAACTATAACTAATTATTTATTTAAGCAAAAAGTTTTTATAATTCTGAATATAGAATGTAGCAAAAAAAAAATTATTAAAGAAAATATAATAAATCCAAATAGTAACAAATGGTTCGATAGAATTATTAAAAACTTTGAGCTATTGCATAAATTGGGGATTATAATCATTTTAAATAGCAATGGAATATTTTAAATACTTAGAAAAACTATAATCATAATACTTTCAGGTTGTAATAAATATTACGTTTATAAGGATGTGGCGACTTAGTGAAGTGGTCAAGTTGTCACCCCCCAAGCGGCAAGTCAAGAGTTCGAATCCCACCGATAACGAAAATTTGAATTTCTATTTGTGTTATGGTAACTGTCTCCTTAAGGTTGGGATATCCAATCCTGTAACTATAGTCAGACCAAATAGTGGCTGGGATAATCACTACCCAAAATTGGG